GGAAGCTGGGGAGAGATAGCAAGGGGAGAAATGCCAGATGTAGGTGATGGGGAGGAAGGCAGCAAATCACACTGCCACATGTGTTACCATGCAACAATTTTGCATGTTCTTCACATGTACCCCAAAACCTAAAATGCAATAAAATAAATAAATGGGGGAAAAAATTTACCAACATCTCTGTTTTGCTGTGGCCTTATGCTGACCGTCTTATCTTAAAGACAAAAAAATTTCATTGTATAGATTAAAATTAACTTTGGCAAAAATTGAAATGCAGGCAGGGAATTTTTTTTGTTCAACAGAAACTAGAAAAAGCAAAGATACAGTAAAATAGAAAATTTTCACTGTACAGATGTAAATATAATAATTGACACAGCCAGGGATGATTAATGAATAATAAAATGTTGAGGGATGATCATTTGAATATGGGATATTAATACTTTTAAAAACCATTTTTCCAATTATCTCAGTATAAATAAGGTGTCTCTGAAATATACAGATCCAGCATCACGATCATTGTGACAGACAGATGGTGGAACAGTCCTGGTATCACGATCATGGTGATAGACAGATGGTGGAACAGTCCTGGTACCACGATCATGGTGGTAGACACATGGGACCGTCTCTACCTGCAAATGGGTGAGGTAGTATTGACCCTGTAGTGTTCTCCGAAAAACACTTAGGCTGAATTTAATCATGAGGACATTTTCAGACAACTTCAGAGTACAGATCATTGAGCCAGACAGTTGACCTGTCCTCTACAAACAAGCCCATGTCACCACCATCAACGACAACAACAAAAAGATGAGGAGACACTTTGGGTTCAAAAGGACAAAAGGAATGTGGCTACATTATCTTTTTACTCTTTTTCAACCCAAAATGTCTCTTCTCCTTTTAGTTGTGAGATTTGTGGTGACATGGGCTGTCTGAAGCAGACAGGTCAGTAGTGCTACTCACTGTTCTACATTCTGAAGTTGTCTGGAGATTACTTTGGGCTATGAAACTCAGGCTAAGTGTTTTCAGCAAGAACATGGCGTTGTTGATACTCTGCACCGGCAGAGTCCCAGGTGACATGTTGTCTTAGTGTGGGAATATGATCCCTATCCGGGAGACCAGGTGGAGTCTTATCACCGTCATAGTAAGAAACCTACTGTCCATGTCCAAAGTCAAGCGAACATGCTCTTCCACAAGTAAAAAAATGGCATATGTGTAAGCCTGGCATGTGTAATAGAACTCAAGATATGCTGTGTATGTGGAACACAATATATCCAGTGAGTACCAGAAGACTTCAGGATCTTCTGCTTCCACCAGCTCCATGCTGAGCCTAAAAAGGAGGAAAAAACAAAGAATAAGTCAGGGAAAATAAGCCACTGCAGAGCCCCAACTAGATTTCATGGGTAGCACAAGAAAGTGGTTAATAAAGAAAAAACATAGATCCATTAATAACGTAACAAATTTTTCCCTTATGCTGGGATGGACAAGAGTAGGGTAAAAAAGAATGAAAGAGAAAGACAGAGAGAAAGTAAGCTCAGTGAACCATCCAGGTGACACACTGATGAGGGAGTAAAAGGACACTCTGAGTTAGTGCCCTCAGGACACACAGTGTACACTGATCATAAAAAAAAGTATGGTCAACCTACAGTAGTTAGTAAATGGTAAGGGGAGGAAGAAATGGAAACCTAAATATCTACTGCAATTAAAACCAACAGCAATGTTAGTAGGAATAATTCAGGCTTCGTTGAAAAGATGGTATTGATATTGTCAGCCCGCTCTGTTTTCCCTGGACCTGGTGTCTCCAGGTGTCAACACATAATTAGCTGTTCACAATTGCTCAAAGTTACCTGGGGCACAGTGGACCTCGGTCTTCTTCCTCTTCTTGGTCCTTTTTAATCTCTGCAATAAATTCAGACAGGGACAGACAAAATAAGCCATTCCCCTACACCCATAACAGTCCACTGTCTAATCCCTGCACAGGGACCTCAGGCTCCTCAACATGAGAACAGAATAATGTGAGAGATAGACTTCAGGAAGTCTCAAAGACAATCATGATAGAGATTCCTTGGTTTGTGCCTCAGAACCAATGGTGAAACGTCCCTATTCTGGCATACCATTATCCCTTTATCCCAAGTTTGTACAGACAGGAAAGAACCTCACAGACATGCATGGGAACAAAGCTCCTGAAGAACGTGGTAGCTGGCAAGAGACATTTAATTCGGATTGACAGACAACTCCTGGACATGTGCTGCATAGCTTGGTGTGAGTTGGCAACACCTGCTTTGGGTTTCAATGTCCTGAGAGAGCAAAGCTCACTGACCCACCCTGTGTCCGTGCTTCAGACTGGAATCCAAAGTGACTGAAATCTACACTGATGGATAGGTTCAGCCCATCGTGATGACAACTCTCAGCCTGGCCAGCGGAGCAAGGCCCGAAGACTATGGGGTCTATCTGGGACACAAATTGGAGCTTTATCAACTTCACAGTGGAGTACTCACTGCCTATGTCAACAGCCAAGTTGACTTGCTTCTCCTCTAATAAGTGCAAGTTGCTCCTGTAAGACTCATTAGAGGTAGATGTGCCAGGAGGAATTGAGAGAGTCGAATAACCTTCAACCCAGGACTCCTGGGGGGCATCCTCCTCCACAGACTCCTGCAGATTCCTGATGAGCCAGGCAGGACAGGATGACAGAAGATTAAACCAACAGAGATTAGACAACAAAGTCTCACAGCTGATCTGATGGAAGTCAGAATGGAATGGTCACAGAAACCAAAGGCATTTTTCCTTCAGGAGAGAAAAAAAACTATCCCTTCTAAATGCAGGGTGGAGGGTGACTATCCTGGGGACAGAGCACAAACAAGCAGCATGTGTTCAGTGCATTTGCCACAGATGAGCCACTGCAGGCCACCCAGACTCTACGTGTAAACTATCATCACCACTTGCAGCACGAGAACTAACATGGGGCTTCAACTGCCTCGCATAAGTTGTGTTGAAGTTTACATGCAGCATTCAAGTGAACAGAGCTCCTGAGGCATTTCAGACACCCAGATCTTGTGTATTAAGGGCCTCCCTTTTCCCGTATTTTGAAATCATATGTCTATGTTTTGAATTTCTTCTCTTCACAAATCCTAGCAAACACACTCACAACAAATGGGCAGAAAGCATATCTGCGTCTCTCCCGGGGTTTAAACACAGTGGGGAGAACAGGCGAAACCAGGAGATCCCTGTTTGCTGAGTTCACCTGGCTCCTCTGTTTGCAGGTTCCCATCTTGGGAGGAGTGAGAAATTAAAACCTATACAAGTGCCACCAATCACCCACAACATTGTCAATGAGGAAAATTTGTAGCTGGTGAATGGAAGAAAGAGTTCTAGTCATCACTTCCTCATTTTCCCAGGATCTACAGTCTCCAGGTGTCACTACTGAACTAACAGCCCACAACTCCACAGCATTACCTGGGGGGCACTGGCCCTCTTTCTTCCTCTTCCTCATCATCACTTTGACTTTCTGTAAATAAATTCGGAGACGCAGGTCACATTAAGCAAATCACAGTTCACATATGACCAAATCAGTGTTTAGCCATAGCACAAGCACAGAAATGTTCTCAGGGCAAGAATACAAATTCTGACAGGACTATTCCAGGGTCCCCTAGATGAAGCCTGGTGAGTAGGTGATCCTGCTTTCCAGGCACACAGGCCAAAATCTCCCTCTATGGGTAGACCATCATGCCATATTCTCTGTCTGAGTCCATGCAAAGTTAAACCAAATTTTTTCCCAGAAAATCTCCAAAAATGAGTCAAACTCTTTTCTGGGAGTGTTGCTGCAATACTGACTTATCTCACCAGGTACCAAGGTCATTGAATGGTTAGAGGCATCTATACATGAAACTGGACTGATATGTAAATTCTAACAGCACTTGCTTTAAAAAGAATCTGTGAGCTTTGCTCAGTGCCAGTATCATAGCCAATGAGTTTTATCTGAGATGAGATTATTGCTAATTGAAAACTTTTCCCAATACCCCACCATGATGACATACAATAGAGTCGGCATTGACAATTTTTGACTGTCTCTTGGGAGACTGAATAAAAAAAGACAAAACAAAAACAAACAAAAAATAATCTGTGGGCCGGGCATGGTGCCTCACACCTGTCATCTCAGCACTCTCAAAGGCCAAGGTGAGCACTTCACGAGGTCAGGAGATTGGGACCATCCTGGCTAACACGGTAAAAGCGTGTCTCTACTAAAAATACAAAGAAATTAGCTGGGCATGGTGGCACATGCCTGCAGTCTCAGCTACTCGGGAGGCTGAGGCAGTAGAATCATCTGAACCCAGGAGGTGGAGGTTGCAGTGAGCTGAGATCGTGCAACTGAACTCCAGCCTGAATAACAGAGGGAGACTCCCTCTCCAAAAAAAAAAAAAAATCTGTGATTTCAGAGGACAAGGTGAGTGAACCACTTAAAGTTAGAAGTTTAAGACCAGCCTGGCCAATATGGTGAAACCTTGTCTCTACTAAAAATACAAAAATTAGGTAGGTGTGGTGGGGGGCACCTATGGTCCCAGCTACTCAGGAGGCAGAAGCAGGAGAATCACTGGAGTCTGGGAAGTGGAGACTGCAGTAAGCCAAGATGGTGCCACTGCATTCCAGCCTGGGTGACAAAAGGAGACTCCATCTCAAAAACAACAAGAAACAATACATGATGCTACGAAGAAACATCAGATCGGCCATTGCATGGATGGGGTGGAGATCCAGGGCTGAGCCTTGCTTTATGGTAACATATCAGCAAGGTAAAGAGGAAACGTTTTCATCCTGGTCTCAAGGTGACTATGCAGCTAAGCAAGCTGACTTAAAAGAGATCAAGACTGAAGCGCAGAGCAGTGAAACCTGGGGAACAATCTCTCCAAGTAAATAGGCAAGGCTCTCAGTTTCCTTAAAAATAAATAGAAACTCCATGGACATTGTTCAGGGACAGATGACATAATGACATGAGAGATACTGAGTCAAAGCTAGAAGACCTGACAGACACCTCCTGTACACCTCCTGCACACATGTGACCATGAGTTTGTCACACTGGCCTAGGGTCTGGTAACTTGATATTTGGGCCTCGGATACAAACGCATGGCATGAGCTGAGGATGAGATAAAAATTCCCTGGTATCTGTGTTTAGTATCCCATGATAGCTTTTTATTCAAACCAATTTGTGGGTATAGAGCCTGTCTTCAGAGTTGATCTTCCTCAGCCTAGACAGAGGTACCAAAAACCAGGAATGTAGAGGTCACCTGAAAGAATGATTAGAGCATCCTCCACCACATCATGAGATGATTCAATCTACAACCAGAGCAGGGTCGATGTTGTCTTCCTCAAATGTGATTTCATTGGTGTCCCCGTGAGGCTGGCTGGAGTCAGTAGGGCCATAGCTATTTGAAGGAGTGATGACACATTTCTCCAGTGAGTCCTCAGGAACTTTCTTGACTTCAATCTTCTGCACCTCCCTGATGAGCCAGATGGGATAGAGATGACAGAAGATTAAACAAAGAGGGATTGGACCCCAGGGAGTCCTAGATGGTTCTCAAAGGAGGAATGAGAGAGTGGTCCCAGAAGGCAAATAGGAGGTTCCCTTTGAGAGGAAACAGGCAATCCTCCTCTCTGCAACAGAGCATGGCTGCCATGGGAACCAGAGAGAAAGACTGCAGCTGGTATTCATTACACTGGGCAGAAAGGAGCCGAAAAGAAAAGAGACTCAGTTATCCCTGTAAAATTCAGACACGGCACTCAGCACATACAAAGAACCACAACAGCTGCCACACCCTGTGTCTAAGTTGGGTTGAACTGAACATACTGTGGCCAAGGGAATGCAGGCTTTTGGACTATGGGAGACGCCAGAGAGGGTGTGCTTCTAGACCTTTTCCATACTTTACCACCCATTACTTGCTCCTGATTATTCAGTGTTACCTGCGGGCATGTGATTCCTGTATTTTCTCAGCCTCCACAACATGAACATCTTAATCCTCATCTTTGTCATTTTCTGCAAGTACAGGTGTGTTCGTTCAGATATTTCCCATTTCACACTCTGCAAGGACAGTCAGCCCAATGTGTGCAGGAACATGAACATCTGTGTATGGGTCCCTGTTCTACTGAAAGCTCTCATGTTTTCTCTTTAATAGAATGCCCTGGCATGGTTTCCTGATCCACCAGGCAATGCATTTCTGATCAGGAGGCTCACCGTCAAGATGAGGCCAAATGTTGAAAAGACCTTCTGCTCTCCACATCACTGGAGGCTTGTGCAGCCTCTCTCTGGACTTTGGCAGCTGTCTCCGCCATCCTGACACAGATCTGATTCCCAGAGACAGTCTTGGTATCCTGTCACAGTTCACATTTAAAACCTATTTCTTTCTCTTAGGAAAGGGTAAACAAACTTGTCCCACAATCCTCTGCACATCAAGTGACTTCACAGGGCCTCCAAGTGTCTTCTGCTATGTTATTCAGGGACATTCTCTCCACGGGTAGTGCTCCAGTCTGAACCACTTCCTACCACCAAATGCTCACACCTCAAGTGCTTTCTCCAACACCACACAGCGAGGGGATTTATCTCATTGTGATAAGCGGTCATAAGTGTTTGCACATTTGAATGCTTCAGACACTGCAAGATATCTGCCTTTGCAGATGGAGAGAGAGAAATTGACCTGCGTTTGCAGATGAAGACAGAGAAAGTCAAGAAGGAGAAATCAATTGCTCACTGACAGTTCCTAGGAACACTGCTGAAGATACAACCTGGGAACCTTCATTCTTACTCCAGAGCTCTTTCCACTCCAACTACTGCCCTTCTCTCACTGCTTCCTTCATGTCCTTTACAACTGGAGAGATGCTGCCTCTTGCTCCAAAGACCACCATCCATCATGGAAGGAGGGACATTTACAATACTGTGACCTCCAACCCCATGGGTTTCCCATCTGTGTTCTCATTCAGAAAGTCCTAGTCATGTCATGGCCACATATGTTTAGTGGAAGAAAACACCACTGATAAAACTGTCATCACGGAAGTATGGAGGTCTGGAGTCTCTCATAGGGCCATAAAGGAAATATGCACAGAATAATAAAGTTTCTCTTATGCTAGACACAGTAAAATGAAGAACTAATAGACAGTGTTTACTCTGTGCCAACAACTGTCTCCACGAGGCATCTTGGATGGAGCTCAGGAGACTGGCCCAGGGTCCCTCCTTTATGCACCGCTGCCACCACAAAGTCGTGGGTGCTTTCATTCTTCCTCTTAACCAACAAGAGCCTCTGCACAGAAAGCAGGACATCCTTCTGACCAGAGTAATCACTGCTCTTGATGAGGCCACTTACAGATACCACAGGTTATGTAAGGAGCAGAGCCCTCTTTAAGCTCCCGATAGCGGGCATAGTGTGCTACCATCACATTTCCCCCAGAACAGAGCTTTCCCTACTGAGCCTCAGCAGAAACTGGAACCGAGTGGAAGTTCAGCAGCCTCAGACATTTAGAACAGACTAGATGCTACTTTTCTGCAGAATCTTAGGTGGCACAGAGAGGATATCTGTAAACATGGATTCAGCCTCTTGCTGAGAAATACAGGTGGTTCTGTGCCTGGGTCAGGAATCAATAGCTGGGATTGTAACCCCAGCCCCACAGCCACCTTACTGCAGATATGGAAATGTTGCTAAATATTTTGGCATCTGTCTTCCAATTTAACTAAATGTTAAAATACCCACTGCTATTTTCTACAAGTATGGGAAGGATGAAATTAATTTTGATGAAGAGAGCGGTTAGTTTCTTGAGACAAGACAGGACATCATTCTTCACTTTCGTGGTGGTCAACCTATAGAACTTACTGTATGTCTTCAGCTGCTAGTTCAGGGAGTAGTCCACCGGACTCATAAGAAGTCTATTTTTGCTGACTCCAATATTCGATTTGTTATCTTCCTGTTCGAAGCAGGATTTCTCAATGCCTTCTGGAACGTTCACCTCTGTGTTTTTTCTGGAAGGAGGCCTGTCAGATGCCACCTTGCTGATGTTTGGGGCAGAATACAGAAAGCCAGGGACTGGAGAGAAGAAACCCAGACACACAATGGATTAGAAACTGGTGACATCAAATTGGTTTAATTGGGACTGAGGGATGTCACTGACAGCCCTGCCTATTGATTTGAAGATGTCATTTCCCTGCTTTTACTCTTCTCATCTCCACCCCTGATCTCCTTAAGGTCAACTTGTCTTAGCTACTCAGTCACCTTGAAGCCAGGACAGAAACCCTCCTACCATAATCTTGTTTATGAGTTCTGCAGGATCTTATATGGTAGGGAGGATTCCTGTAAACATGATTTAGCCTCTTGCAGAGAAGAACAGATGGTTCTGTGCCTGTGTCAGGAATCAATAGCAGGGATATTAACCTTAGTCCCACACCCACCTTACTGCAGACATGGAAAAGTTCCTAAATAGTTTGGCCTCTGTATTCCATCTTTAACTAAATATTAAAATGCCCACTGTTTATTTTCCTAGAAGTATGGGAAGGATGAAATTAACTGAAGAAAAGAGTGTATCATTTCTCACAGACAAGACAGTACATTGTTCATCACTTTCGTGAGAGTGAACCTATAGAACTTAATTTCCATCTTCAGCCGGCAGCCCAGGTAGTAGGCCACTTGGCTCATAAGAAGTTTATTTTTGCTGTCTCTGCATTTCTGTTCTTCATCGTGATCTTCCTGATCTTCTGTAAACAAATTTAGAAGAGCAGGTCACATTAAGCAAATCACACTTCACACAAGACCAAATCCGTGTGCAGTCATAGCACAAGGACATAAAATATTCTCAGTGTAAGAATGTGATATTCTGATGGGGGTGTTCTAACAGGCCCTAGATTAAGTCACCTCAGAAGTAGATGAGCCTACTTTTCAGATCCATGGGACAAAATCTCCGTCATCTGGTAGATCTTCATCACATATCCTCTGACCTAAGTCAGGGCAAATAATTAAAACTTTTTCCCCAAAATCTTCAAAAATTGCCCTAACTACTTACCAGAACAATTGCTGCAATACCAATTTATCTCATCATATATCATGGTCAATGAATGGTTAGAGAAATTTACATAGGAGACTGGACCAAGGGATGAATTCTAATAACCTTTACTGAAAAAAGAATCTGTGGAGCCAGCCCGGTGTCTCATGCCTGCAATTCCAGCATTTTAGGAGGCCCAGAAGGGCAAGTCACTTGACCTCAAGAGTTCAAGACCAGGCTGTCCAACATGGTGAAACCCCACCTTTACTAAAAATACAAAGATTAACCAGGGGCTTTGGTGCCCACCAGGGATCCCAGCTAAAGGGGGGGCTGAGGCACCAGTAGCAGGGTACTCCTTGCTCTTGATGATGCCATTTACAGATACCACAGGTTCTATTAGGAGCAGGGTCCTCCTCGAGATCCTCAGAGGAGGTACTGTGTGCTATCACTGTGTTTCCCCCGGTGTCTGCAGAACCCTGCTTTGCCTACTGGGCCTCAGCAGAAACTGGAACCAAATGGAAGTTCAGCAGCCTCAGACATTTTGACCAACAGACTAGATGCTACTTGTCTGTGGGATCTTATACGGTACAGAGAGGATTCCTGTAAACATGATTTAGCCTTTTGTTGAGAAAAACAGGTGGTTCTGTGCCTGTGTAAGAAATTAATAGCAGGGATTGTAACCCCAGTGCCACACCCACATTACTGAAGACATGGAAAAGTTGCTAGATACTTTGGCCTCTGTCTTCCATGTTTAACAAAATGTTAAAATAACCATTTCTATTTTCTACAAGTATGGGAAGGATGAAATTAATTTTGATGAAGAAAGAGGTTAGTTTCTCAAAACAAGACAGGACATTATTCATCAATTTCATGGTGGTCAGCCTATAGAACTTACTGTACGTCTTCAGCCGGTAGTTCAGGAAGTAGGCCACGTGACTCATAAGAAGTCTATTTTTGCTGGCTCCAAAAGTCGGTTTATTTTCTTCCTGTTGGGAGCAGGATTTCTCAATGCCTTCTGGAACATTCATCTCTGTGTTTGTTCTGGAAGGAGCCCTGTCAGATGTCACCATGCCGACGTTTGGGGTAGAACACAAAAAGCCAGGGACTGGGGAGAAGAAACCCAAACGTATGATGGATTAGAAACCTGTGACGTCAAATTGGTTTAATCGGGGCTGAGGGATGTCACTGACAGCCTTGCTCATTGATTTGAAGATGTCATTTCCCTGCTTTTACTCTTCTCATCTACAATTTCAATCTCCTTAAAGTCAACTTGTCTTAGCTACTCAGTCACCTTGAAACTAGGAAATAGACACTTCTACCTTTATCTTGCTTATATGTTTTGCAGGATCTTATATGGTACAGAGATTTCCTGTTAACATGATTTAGCCTTTTGCTGAGAAGAACAGGTGGTTCTGTGCCTGTGTCAGGAATCAATAGCAGGGATATTAATACTAGTCCCACACCCGCCTTACTGCAGACTTGGAAAAGTTGCTGAATATCTGACCTCTGTCTTCCATTTTTAACAAAATGCTAAAATACCCATTGCTATTTTTCTAGAAGTATGGGAAGGATGAAATTAAGTTTGAAGAAGAGAGTGTATCATTTTCCAGGAAGAAGACAGGACATTGTTGAGCACTTTCGTGACAGTGAACCTATTAGAACTTACCTTCCGTCTTCAGCCGGCAGCCCAGGTAGTAGGCCATTTGACTCATAAGAAGTTTACTTTTGCTGTCTCTGCATTTCTGTTCTTCATCATGATCTTTTCGATCTTCTGTAAACAAATTTAGAAGAACAGGTTACGTTAAGCTAATTCCACTTCACACAACAGCAAATCAGCGTTCAGTCATAGCACAAGGACTCAAAATATTCTCAGTGTAAGAATGTGGTATTCTGACAGGATTGTTCTAAAGGCCCCTAGACTAAATCACCCTAGAAGTAGATGAGCCTGCTTTTCAGAACCATGGGACAAAATCTCCCTCATCTGGTAGATCTTAATCACATCCACTGACCTAAATCAGTGTAAAAAATTAAAACTTATTCCCAAAATCCTAAAAAATTGCCCTACTTTCCAGAAGCGTTGCTGCAATATTGATTTATCTCATCATATGTCATGGTCAATGAATGGTTAGAGAAATTTATATAGGAGGCTGGACCAAGGGATGAGTTCTAACAACATTTACTGAAAAAAGAATCTGTGGAGCAGTCATCGTGGCTCAAGCCTGGAATCCCAGCACTTTAGGAGGATCAAGTGGGCAGATCACTTGACCTCAGTGATCAAGTGGGCTTGATCACAAGACCAGCCTGGCCAACATGGTGAAAGCCTGCCTCTACTAAATATACAAAAATTAGCCAGGTGTGGTGCTGCCCACTGGGGATGCCAGCTAATTGGGGAGTTGAGGCACCAGTACCAGGGTACTCCTTGCCCTTGATGGTGCCACTTACAGATACCACAGGTTCTGTTAGGAGCAGGGTCCCCTTCAAGCTCCTCACAGCAGGTACTGTGTGCTATCATTGTTTTCCCCCAGTGTCCCCAGAACACAGCTTTGCCTACTGGGCCTCAGCAGAAACCAGAACCGAATGGAAGTTCAGTAGCTTCAGAAATTTAGACCAACAGACTAGATGCTACTTGTCTGTATGATATTTGTTGGTACAGAGAGGATTCCAGTAAACATGATTTAGCCTTTGCTAAGAAAAACAGGTGCTTCTGTGCCTGTGTCAGAAATCAATAGCTGGGATTCTAACCCCAGTCCTATACCCACCTTACTGAAGATGTGGAAATGTTGCTAAATACTTTTGCCACTGTCTTCCATCTTTAACTAAATGTTAAAATACCCATTGCTATTTTCTACAAGTATGGGAAGGATGAAACTAATTTTGATGAAGAGAACGGTTAGTTTCTCGAGACAAGGCAGGACATCATTCGTCACTTTCTGGTGGTCAACCTATAGAAATTACTGTACGTCTTCAGCTAGTAGTTCAGGAAGTAGGCCACCTGGCTCATAAGAAGTCTATTATTGCTGGCTCTGATATTTGGCTTGGTCTCTTCCTGCTGGGAGTAGGAATTCTCGATGGTATCTGGAAAGTTCACCTCTGTGGTCTTCCTGGAACAAGTCCTGTGGGATGCCACCATGCTGACATTTGGGGCACCACAGGGAGAGCCAGGGACTGGGGAGAAGAAACCCAAACATATGATGGGTTAAAAACTGGAAATCAAATAGTTTTAATCAGGACTGGGGGATGTCAGTAACTCAAATTCTTAACTTACTGTTGAGAAAAACCTGATCCCTCCTCACAGCACTTTAAGGTCCTTAACCGCAAAAACAAGGTTCGCAATGCTTGAGCTGAGAACTGAAGGCGCTGCCTGTAGCTCAGACTCTGACAAGAGTGTGGGAGATAGTGGCCAGTGCCCCAGGTAACGGTCTGCTGTTGCAATAACAGAATTAGAAGCTGGGCATGTCGTGGAATCTTAGGAGCCCTTCATTCCATTGCCCAGGGTTTGCTAAAACACAGGCCTCCTGGTCTCACCTGAGGTCACAACAGATGGGGACCATTACTCTATAAGTCACTCTCAGTATTTGTGTACTGTTGTGACAATGCCACAGTGCCATCTCATTCCCAATACATCTAAGAATGTGCCTCATTTTTCATCTCTTATGTGTATAAAATAATCAAGGCAGAAACAGTTTCCCAACACGTGATACTTTCTTAATGCTAGTCATGAAGTCAGTTATCTCTCCTTCTCATATGTTAAAACAGAATTGAAGGCTTTTCCACAAGTTTAAGGTATCAATCTGTTACACTGCCATCATATCCTCTGAGTCTTCTGTAGTATTTTCTGTATCCACTAGAAAGTCAATGAGTAATTCATTTCTTAAAAATGTTTTCTTTCCTGGCTCAATATTCCTCTTGCTGCACCCCATGGTTATGCTGATTTAGTTTTTCTTACTGGCAGATACCACTACACTGATGTTTGTGGCAGAAGAGCCTTTTCATTACACTTAAGACCAGTGTGACATCCCTATGTCCAAAGCTTCCTCTATGTGGGATGATTTGTTTTTTAATGTGACTGAACACTACATCTCATACTTGTCACTTACAGATGTGATTCTAGTCCCAGAAGAGCTCTTTTCAAGGTGTCACATCATTGAAATAATTTCTATAGAGATCTCTCGAAAGCATGTGTGACCATCTATCTTGGGAAGTCTTGGAAAACCTGATATGATTTTGTTGTTTTCATTTCATTTTTTTCATATATTGAAAATAACAGGGCCATGAGTAGTCCTTATGGAATTCTGTTTGATAGACATTTTTCTGAGTTGGTCTATCACCGTTGATGTGTGGTTGCATCCCAGTAACCAACACAGCAAGATCAAGGTGATGGTCAGGGGTGGTTGGTGGTCCTCTGTGTTGCTGTGCAATAGAAGGTGAATCTGAGATGAGAGGAACGAGTAGAGAAGAGTGATCCCCTAAACCACCCCCTCACTTTCTCAGCCATCATCTCCACCTAGGTTTTGTGAGCCTGGAATTTGGGAGACTGTTCTGTAGCCCAAGTCTCCTATGTTTGGCTGCTGGGCTTGCCTGAGTTGAGGGTGCAATGGGTGTGACCCTGGGTTGACCAGCATTCATGTGGCAATGAAGGAAGGAAGACTGGATCAATCCCATTGGAAAGCATGCCTCTCTGCAGCCCCCACCATCCTCCAATGACACTGTAAGGATACTGCTCTAAGATACATCAAAGGCTTTAATTAAAGATATATTCTGGTGTCTGGGAGGCCTGACATTCTGTGGCAGAAAGAAAATCTGTCAAATTTCTTCATTTTAAAAATGATGAAACTGCAGGTTCACAAAGTTATGTGGCTTACTTGAGGTCACACATTGATGAGTTTTGAGAACTGCCAATAACAGTGATCACAACAATTATTCCATAATTATTCATAGGATTCATGTCATTCTGTAAATATTCATATAATTATTCAGTAATTATTTGTAGACCAATTTGTACCAGGTATTTTGCTCAAAACTATGCACATATTTGGACAGCATATCTTCATTATAGTCTTCAAGGTAATGCTGTTATCCTAACGATCAGGTAAGAAACCTGAAGAAGAGGGCTAGGAAATCATGAATTTGGCCATATTTCCATTGTTTGGTTTCTGTGATGCTGGATGAATGACCAGAATGAGTCACAGGAAGAGTATTCATTCCTGTATCATTTTTCAGGACAGAGATGTGCCCTCCTAGAGTATTGCTACCAAAATTCAGAAGCGTCTGCAACCTTGCTTTAACAGGATGGGAAAAAACCTCTATTACCTGGAATTTCCCTGGACCTTTGGAATATACAAGAGAAGTATGAGATTTAGGTCTTACCTTGACTGTATTTCATTCTCTCTTCTATGGAATACCAATGATTCTCAGTAAGACTTTTGCTTTTTTTCTTTCTTTCTCTCTCTCTCTCTCTCTTTTTGTTTTTTTTTTTGAGACAGAGTCTTGCTCTGTCACCAGATTGAAATGCAGTGGCACAATCTCAGTTCACTGCAACCTCTGCCTCCTGGGATCAAGTGATTCTCTTGCCTCAGTCTCCTGACTAGCTGGGACTACAGACACATACCACTAAGCCCAGCTAATTTTTGTGTTTTTAGCAGAGACAAGGTTTCACCATGTTGGCCAAGATGGTCTTGATATCTTGACGTCGTGATCCACCCATTGGCCTCCTAAAGTGCTGGGACTACAGGTGCGAGCCACCACACCCAGCCGACTTTTGCCTTCTTATAACCACAATATATGTTTTATGAAGATTTTACTGATAGCTCCATTTAGAAAGAATAAATATGAGCTATGGTTTAGGCTTTATGCCCTGGACGTACTATTTTTATGATTTCTCTTTTGAGATTAAATTCTCATGTAAATAGGGAAGTACTTATTAATTCTCTTTGTCTGTCCCCATCAGTGCCACTCATTGTCTCCCAGTATGACCTGGCTATGCCCCCGCACTTACCCTTGTCCTGCTCAACCATCTCCATGCACGGTCCAATTCCATCAGTGATTCAGGCTCCTCCGAATGCTCCCTGAAATGGGTACAGGTCTTGGAACATCAGACACATTCCAGGCACAAAAGTAACCCAAACTGTAAAGCAGAAAGCTGTGTTCCCACTTTCCTGAAGTTGGCAGTGATGTCCTAGGACAGGAAGGAATATTTTCCTTTGTTAGGGGGTCTGTTTTTCATGTCTCAAGGTCTGTGATCTAGTGCACACAACTGTCCTGAATGTGAATGAACTTGCTAAATTTCTGGTTTCTTGCTAGGTGGCTAGAACACATTTGTAAGACTTCCTTACTTACCCACGTCTGCTAAGTCTGAAATCTTACCATTATGATTCCTTTTCTTGTAAGGGGCAGCTCAGGGAAGATTGGCCCCATTGCCATGCAAAGAGAGGTAAAGTGAATTTCTACTCAAAGCAACCTTGAATTTGAAACTGGGTCTTCCAATGTTTCAAAGCTGGACTGTAGGTCCAAGTGTGCATACATTTGGACATCATATCTTCATCAGAATCCTCAGGCATGTGTCCTCAAGAATTTGTGTGTCAGCTGTACTCAGGATAAAGTTAGTTCTCATTATGTCAAGTTATAATTAATTTGCCAGAATATCATTCATTATCAAGATAAAGTAATTTATCATTATGGCAAGGACAAATTTAGAAGACTTATTAAATTTACTTCTTTGTTTCCCCAGCTGGAAACACTCAATAGCTACTGATATCATCAGTGTCCTCTGAATACCTTGGCTGTGTTAATTGCTTTGACTCAACATGGAGCTGAAGTGTTGGTGTACTGTACCTCAAGATGCTGAAACATGGCTGAAGTCCAGGGTCACTGGCCCAGGCCATCCACTGAGGTCATCTCATGCGGCATCGGCCACTGGTTCCAATGAACCCACCATGACCACACTTCTCATGAATCACCAGTCACTAGACTGAGAGTTGTGTGGAAGCTGGGATCCTATTTTACTCACCTCTGTGGTCAGGGCTCTTAGCTAAGGGCCCAGCACAGAGGGGTCTCTCAGCAGTGTACATCCATGACTGAATAAAATTGATTACAAACCTCCAACCCTTTCAACTACATTTCTGTCCCCAATGTCTTGTAAGGATACTCTTTCTCTCAGAATGCTGCAAATCCCCTTCTCTAGAGAGGGCCTGCCCTACACCACCCCTGCCCCAGGATCCTCTCCTGTGGGAACTTGAAGGAAGACTAGTCTGTTCTGAAAATGTTATTTTTTTTTTTCTTTTGAGATGGGGTTTCACTCTTGCTACCCAGGCTGGAGTGCAATGGCACAATCTCGGCTCACTACAACCTCTGACTCCTGGGTTCAAGCAATTCTCCTGCATCAGCCTACTGAGTAGCTGGGACTACAGGTGTGCACCACCATGCCTAGCTAATTTTTTTGTATTTTCAGTAGAGTTGGGGTTTCACCACATTGACCAGGATAGTCTTGGTCTCTTGACCTTGTGATCCACCCGCCTCAGCCTCCCAAAGTGCTGGGATTATAGGCGTCAGCCACCATGCCTGGCCAATCTGAAAATGTTCTCTTATGCTTCCCCCTGTCATTAGGAGCAATGTCCTTTGACATACCCCCCCATCCTCCAGGCTGCCACAACACCTCAGTTGGGTAGAACTACTGTATCTTGTTGAAATGATCTGCTTGTGTTTTTCGACTCACTGGCTTGAGTTTCTTTAGAGACATTAAATACCTGAATCCCAAGTGCTTAGCACAGTATAAAGAAAATTACATGCTCAATAAATGTTTATGAGAAACTTCCCTCAGCTGAAGGTACAGAAGAATAGTATAAGTATCACTGTTTCATATGCAAGCAAGGGACACTTACTGTGGCACCTGACCTACGGTAGAGCTGTTCGATGTAAGAATGGACATCTCCACCCTTCTCCAAGCACGGTTATTCCCTCTAACCCACACTGACCTCAGGAGTATCCATTGCTACGGCAGCCCTGAGGTTGAGGTTCCTAGGTCTGGGGTGGGGACTCATGGTCATATCCTCCCTCTTTTGGAGTTGAAGCTGCCCCTCACTATAAACCAGTTCTGATCTACCCTATGGCTCTCCCTGGCCAGAGGCAGGAGACTCCTGTGGAGTAAATTTCTCTCTCAGTCCCCACTGCTCAGCTCATGCTGCTCCTTGAGAATTTAAATGATTATAGGCATTGCCCATTTCCCCTGAGGCTTCTGTCCCAGTTTGTCCTTATTCTCCCCTTCTTTGGTTTTCATCTACCAATGGCTTGCTTTTTGTAGATTATTCTCATGCCCTAAACCTGCTGACTTTCCTTCTTCCCTCAGCTCTGGGATTTCAGGGTGTAGACTCAGCTCAGGCTCCTGCAGGAGACACGCAGAGTCAGGTCTCAGCTGAAGGTCCCAGGCAGCACTGAAAACCAGCTCAATTCCTCATAGACTCAGAGAAAACAGGGCAGGAAGGGACCTCGGAGAGGTACAATAAGCCCCTAACTTACTGATGAGGAACCTGAAGCCCAGAAAGACTGAGACTCTCCCAGGCTCCTGCCCTGGCCACTTGGTGGCAGCAGATCCACCACAAACCTTGGCCTCAGCCTTCCTGTGTAAAGCAGATAACTCACCCTCCAGAAGCTCACTGCTGCCTTTCAGAAACTTTAAATGAAAAACAGCAATTTCCACTGTGAAAACAAAAAGAGTAAAAGGCCCTTTCCTTGGACAAACCCTTTATCAGAGTTCTATAGTCCTGGCATTTATACTTAGTCAGCTGTCATTCACTGGCTGGTAGACTGGGGCAGGGAGCACATAGGATTAAATAGCGTTTCACACAACCCTGCTTTCCCGGCCAGGGCTTTCAGCTTCTCCATTCTTCTTCAGAAACTTTCTTCTGCTCTAACTTTTGGAGAATCCAGGCCCTCACCTGGGTCATTTCTCCATGAAGATCCCTGTTATTTTCTTCCTCTCCTGGAGATAGAGAGGGCAGAGATTGGTTCTGGGTCTACATAGTCTTAGGTTTTCTCCTACGCCAGCCAGGGCAGCTGAAAGCAATCATGACTGAGAGAGGTCAGGTCAGTGAAGAGGAGCACGGGCTCACAAGGAGATCCCCTCTTGGAGATGGTCAGGACCATGATACGGGCAATATCTGACCAATTCTGCTGGGGATGATGCAAAAAAAATTAAGTGGAGGAGGCTGCCATGGGGAGAAAGGGAAAGAACCAAAAGAGTGGGGGAACAAAAAAAAATAAAATATTTTCAGTAACAATAGAAAAAAATGCAGGCCCCGGAGGCAAAGCCCCCTGTCACAGATGGTTAGTTCCAGGCTGAAGAGCCTAATCAAGAAATTCCTGCTGGACATTGCTCGGCCCCATTTCAAAATGGTTTTGGATCTGTGACTTCATTGCCTCCACTTTCTCTCTTTTTGAACAAGAATCACTAGCATCGTTATTCTGTGACTGTCCCACCAGTGCACATTGAGGACAGATAAGCTGTTTGTTCAGTTTCACAGGTCAACAGAGGTAAGGGGATTATATCAAGGATCTGTACTTGGGCCAGGCACGGTGGCTCATGCCTGTAATCCTAGCACTTTTAGAGGCCTAGGGGGGCGGATCCCCTGAGGTCAGGAGTTTCAGACTAGCCTGGCCAACAGGGCAAAACCCCGTCTCTACTAAAAATACAAAACAATTAGCTGAATCCAGTGATGCATGCCTCTTATCTCAGCTACTCAAGAGGCTGAGGCAGGATAATCACTTGAATCCAGGCGGCAAAAGTTGTAGTAAGCCAAGATCACACCCCTGCACTCCAGCATGGGTCACAGACCAAGACTCACTCTCAAACACAAAAACAAAAAAGAATCTGTACTTAATGGACACCCTCAGAAGCCTCATTCACACTTGGTGTAGCTGACTTAAATGAGATTTTAAACTTTCGATCAGATTAGAGCTACATGACATTTTTCACTTTGAACTAACGCATTCATGACAGGAAACCTGGAAACCTTAGGTGAGAAGTTGAATGAATTTTGCACCTATGAGGAACGTGAATGTCTAGGGACTAGAAGTTGAACTGTGATTGGTGGAATTTCTAACATGGTCTCCAAACATGCTGTACCCTTATCTCTGGAACCTGTTAAGCTGATGAGACCTTTCTGTGATTACATTGTTACATGGCAGTCATATGACTTTAAAGAGTGATATGCATTTTAGGTTTTGGGGTACATGAGAAGAACATGCAAAATTGTTGCATAGGAACACTCGTCTTCTCATGTACCCCAAAACCTAAAATGCAATAAAATAAATAAATGGGGAAAAAAAAGATTAAAACAAATATTTTTAAAAGAAAAAAAATATTAATTACAGTTTAAAATGAAGACTTTTTAAAGCATATGAATTATTCTTCAAACAAC